AGGCAATGAAACCGACGAATCACCAAAATTCTGCCCAAAATTCGCTTGTCGGAGCCTCGCCGGAGTTTCGCCGGAAATCGCCTCCAGCGACCCAAAACAGGAGGATAGGAAGATCAGATGTGGGAAAGAATGGGTCTGCAATTGGTTTTGAGAAAAAGCATCAAAAGCGGCAGAAAATAGATGGGAGAAGGTGGAAAATTGCGGTTTTCCAGCGAGGTGGAGAGGATTCGGCGAAGGGGAAAGGTTTTCTGGCGATGCACGGCCGTGTGACCCATGTTTTATAGGCGTCGTGCGCTCCGCACGGCCAAGGTGCACGGCCGTGCAGGTGCAAAACTTGGTCGTGCGAGGCCGAATGGTGCACACGGGCAGGTCGAGGTAGCTTGCACGGGCCGTGCGACATGTTATCCTGACCGTGCGATAATCTGCAAGGCTACACAGGTACAAAGATGGGATACCACATGGCGGTGCTGCATGCCAGGCTGCCCGTGCGGGAATCAGCGAGGCTGCACACGGTCATAAATAGGGAATGCACGGCCATGCATCCCCTTGTTCTGGCCGTGCAACATTCTAGCAGCCCTGGTGCGGACGATTTTTCACAAAAATAAGACGGGTAGGAACTTTGACACACTCGACACGACTCACAAACAAAAAATGGACGAAAAAGGGAAAAGAAATACAAACCGAGGTGGGGTTTCCTCCCCACAAACGCTTTCTTTTACGTCTTTATCTAGACTCATCAGGCGGAACTAAGGGTCTGCAAGTTCGACCACCAACTCCGCGCGTTCGACCTCGCCTTCCAAGTACAGTTTGAAGCGATGGCCATTCACTTTAAACGGCTCAACTTGCGGGTTGGCAACCTCAACTGTGCCATACAAGAGCACCTGCGTGACCGTAAACGGTCCAGACCATCGGGAGCGGAGCTTTCCGGGAAAGAGTTTCAGGCGAGAGTTATAAAGAAGCACTCGATCGCTAACCTGAAACTCAATCGCCAACCTGAAGCGTCATGGAGACGCTTGGTCGTTTCCTTGTACAACTTCGTGTTCTCGTAGGCATGGTAACGCCTTTCCTCTAGCTCTAGCATCTGCATCTTGCGTTCAGCACCTGCAAGACTCACATCCAAGTTTAGCAGCTTAAGGGCCCAGAAGGCCTTGTGCTCTAGCTCGACGAGAAAGTGACATGACTTTCTATAGACGAGCCGATAGGGGGAAGTACCAATCGGCATCTTGTAGCCAGTGTGAATTATCCAAAGAGCATCATTGAGTTTGGTAGAACAATCCTTATGGGACTGATCCATCGTCTTTTCAAGTAGGCCACAGACACCTTGTGAGTGACACCATAGCGAGAGAGGAGCTTATCAAACTGACCCTTGAAGTGGGTTCCTCTGTTGCTAATGATAGCTCTAGGCGTCCCGAATCGGGAGAAAATCTGCTTCCGAAATTGGCAAACACGTGGGTAAAGTTTGCGCCTCAGCCCACCTCGAGATGTAATAAACAGCAACTAGGATGTAGAGATTATCAAAATATGGAGGAAATGAGCCCATGAAATCGATGCCACATACATCAAAGATTTCACATACAATAAACACATTCTGGGGCATCTCATCCCAGGCAGAAATGTTACCTGACCTCTAACATCCTTGAAAAGCGAGGGCCAGTAGAAGCCCAATTGTAGTACCTTCCTCATCGTGTGGTTTCCTCCATGGTGGCTGCCAGTAGGTCCTTCCTGGAAATGAGAGAGAATGACCTCTATCTCAATTTCCATGGACCATCAACGGGTGAATCCGTCTGCTCCGATCCTAAGAGATGGGGTTCATCCCATAAGTAGTGCTTCAGATCAGAGAAGAACTTTCTCTTTGCATGAGTCGTCATCCCCTTGGACAACTGCTTGCCCACGAGATAGTTCGCAAAATCGGAGAACGAGGGGTGATACTCTCCACCATGCAGGTCATCAGCAACCGCTCATCGAGAAAGGAGTTGTTGCTCTCTTCCAAAGAGTTGTCCACCGGAGGGGCGTCCAATGGTGAAAGATGTCAAACTCCTGCAACAACAGAATCCATCATATGAGCTGAGGCTTAGCGTCAGTCTTGCTCAACAAGTATCTAATGGCAGAGTGATCTATGTAGACCACCACTCGGGGAAAGACTAGATATGGGCGAAACTTGTCAAAGGCGAACACCACAGCTAGCAGCTCCTTCTCTGTGGTGATGTAGTTCTCTTGGGTATCATTGAGAGTCTTTGAGGCGTAGTAGATGGGCCGAAAATGCTAATCGCGCCTCTGTCCCAAGACGGCTCCCATCGCATAGTCACTCGCGTCGCACATCAGCTCGATTGGTTAGGTCCAATTAAGGGTGACCATGATAGGAGAATTAGCGAGCTTCTCCTTCAAGGTTGTGACTGTTGTGGTGCACTCGACGGTGAAATGGAACGGTGCTTCCTTCTCCAGGAGCTTCGTCAGAGGCAGAGAAATCTTGGAGAAGTCCTTGATGAACCGTCGATAGAACCAGGCGTGGCCTAGAAAGCTGCGAATCCCCTTCACAGAAATAGGAGGAGGCGGCTTGCTGATCGTCTCAATCTTGGCTCTGTCCACCTCGAACCCCATCTTGGAAATCTTATGCCCCAATATTATGCCTTCGCAAACCATGAAGTGGCATTTCTCCCAACTTAGCGCCAGGTTCGTCTCCTCACACCTAGCTAGGACGAGTTTCAGATTATGGATACAGTAAGAGAATGAGTCTCCATAAACTGAAAAATCTTCCATGAACACCTCCATTATATCCCCAACCATGCGGTCAAAGATGGTGAGCATACACCTCTAGAATGTGGTGGGGGCGTTGCAAAGCCCGACTGGGATCCTTCGGTAGGCAAATGTGCCGAAAGGATAGGTGAAGGTGGTCTTCGCCTGGTCTTCTGGTGCTATGGGAATATGAAAATACCCGGACATCCCATCCTGGAAGCAGTAAAACAAGTGCCCCGCCAGCCTCTCGAGCATCTGGTCAATGAAGGGTAGATGGAAGTGATCATTCCTCGTGTCGTTGTTGAGGCGACGATAGCCGATGCAGACGTGGTACCCAGTAACCGTCCGCATCGATATGAGCTCATTCTTCTCATTCGGGACTACGGTCAACAATTAATGCCTTGGCGGTGGCGAGAAATGGTCTCCCCAGTATCAAAGGCACATCCACATCCTCATTTATATCCAAAATAACAAAATCAACACGGTATGTTAATGCACCAACATTAACAGGCAAGTCCTCAATGATACCCCTAGGATGCACAATCTAGCAATCAGCAAGCTGAATGCTCATCCTAGTAGATCTAGGTTCACCTAAGCCTAGCTTCTTAAACAGTTTATAGGGCATGACGTTAATGCTAGCGCCTAGGTCGCCAAGGACTTTCCTACATGCATGCTACCCAAGAGGGATAGTAAAACTCCCTAGGTCTTTTCTCTTCTCGGACAACTTGTTCTGCAGGATGGCAGAACATTCCTCATTCATCATCACTATCGATAGATCCCCAAGTTTCTTATTGTTGGTGAGGAAATCCTTCATGAATTTTGCGTACTTGGACATCTTCGACAGTTAGTGGCGGATTCAGAAATTTTAAATAGGGGTGTCCTCTTAAAAAAAAATTAAAATTAAAAATTGAATCAAATAATTATTAAATATGAAAACATTCAACTAGTAAAAGTTAGAATAAAAGTTCAAACATGTTCCGTATTATGAAAGAATATAAAATACATTCGGTGTATACACTGCTCAACAAATCTCTCGTGACATATCCTATTAGACAAGGGTAACCCGTAATTGGGTTTAATCGTTAGGTTTTGAAAATAATTGGGGATAAGAATAGCCTTTTACTACTATATTTTGATAAAAAAACATAACTACAAATGAGTTGTAGTCTAATTGAAACTATATTTACTAATAGTTGCAGTGTTCCCAAGTTCAAATCACATAGACCCTATCACTTAAATATTATTTGTGCTCATATGTAGAATACTATAGGAGGTTGAATAATCATTTTCCATATTTTAAGGGTGTTCCCCTATCACTAATTTTTTTTACCCATACACAAACTACTATCGAAGGTGGATAATCGTTTTTCCAAATTTTAGGGGTGTCCCGGGACACCCCTAAACCTCCATTTATCCTCCCCTGTCGATAGTGCCTCCAGGAACGGTATGCTGAGGTTGATCTGCTTTAACATTGCCATGAACTTGGCAAACTCAGTCTCCAGGTTATTCTTGTGCAGGCGAGTGGTTAAAGGGAGCTGGGGAACATGCTCCTTAACCACTGGTTGTGGCTTGGGAGCAGACACCTCCTTCTCCTCTTCCCCTGACCGGAACAGGAACTGCAGTAGTCGTCTTGCCACTTCTAGTAGTAATGGCATCCAACTGCTGGTGAAGTTCGCGAGGGTTGGGGATGGTGTTGGCAGTAGAGTCTCTGACGCTCTACGGTTGTTCTGCTGAGCTATACCTCCAATCTGATTCTGGAGATCCTGTAGAATGGCATTATGGTTCCTCTAACCTGCCTCCAGTTTATTGAATTTGCCGATTGAAATCCATAAACTGGTCCATCTTGGCAAACTTCTGAGTACTGGTACTCACAAAGATCATCACCAAATCTCGCAGCTTGGTTATTTGGTCACCCTGTGCTGGTGCTCCTGTCGGCTGTTGTACCTGCCGCTGCTGTGGCTGAAAAGGTTTCCCTGTCTGGGCTGGAATGCCTGTTGTTGCTGGAATTGACCCGGTCGGTCTGATACTGCTGCCTCTAGGGAAAGCCACCAGCCTGTGCTGCAAAATTTTCCACTTCCCTTTAGAGCCCTGATCTGGTCTCCAGGCCCTAGGGCGTGCACACCTCTGTCCATCGAGTTCCTACCGTGGTGGGACACTTCCGGAACAGTCCAGAATATCGTTCCCGAGCATCTCACAGTCACTCATCATCGTCCTGGCAAATATGAGTGATCTCTCGCTGAATCTCCGAGGTCTTTGAAGCCGGATAGTACCGGTGCACAAATTTATTAGCCAGATCATCCCAGGAAGTGATGGACAATGGCGGTTGAGTCTCGAACAACCACTTTGCATGCCCCACCAGAGAGGGGGAAGAGGTGTAGGCGGATCGCATCATCTGGCACACCGTTAAGCTTGAAGCCATTGGTCAGCTGCAAGAACCGAGAAAGGTGCACCCTCGCCTCTTCATCCTTGAGCCCACAAAATTGGATGGAAGAGGTGATCAACTGGATCCAGCACAGCTTGATCTCGAAGTTGTTAGCCGGTATGGGCAGGTATTGGATGACTATACGAATGTCTGCGATCCGTGGAGTATAGAAGTACTCCATGGTGTGCCCATATAGAGGTAGCTGCTATTTAGCAGCCTCTGCATGGGGGATGCCATCATTCGGTGGAATTTGATTCACTGGAGGAATCTGGAGGGGAATCCCCAGAGGTTGTCCCTCATTCATGTTGTTCATATGATTATGGGCATCTCCCATGTCGTCCTCCTTCTCAGAGTCACTGCTAATCCAACCGTCAACTAGGTCTTCCTCCGCAGCCAGTCTCGCTCGCAGTGCTTGCTTAAACAGATGACAAGTCCGTTCAAGCTCCTCATCCAACGGTAGTAGTTCTCCTGATTGGCTACGGGTCATGCACTACCTGCACACAAGCTGCAGACAAACCAGTGAAGGCAAAAGTGGGAAGAAAGAAAGAAAAACAATGTAGAAAAGAAATGCTAAAGTAACAAAAATCACGTTTCTTCAACAACCTAGCCGTCCGCGACAACGACGCCAAACACTTGACACACTAAAACTATCACACTAGAAAATGGCCAAGTGTAACCACCGTCTAGTGAGTAGTATAGCGGATTTAGCTTTACTTATCAACCCGGGTCCTAGATTGATGACTACTCCGTTAATTTCTTTGTTATCTAGTAGTATGAATGTAGTGCATTTTAGACTAGTCTAAGCAAACACAAAAAACAGTAAAAGTTGTTATTCAAGTTCAGAGAAAGGTCACCCAGATATGGTTCCCCCTAGAGCGGAGTTGAGTTCAATTGTAATCCACTAAGTCCAAGTGTAATGATAGTTATACTGCGGAAGGTTCTTAGTCAGTATGAAGTCTCGACTAAAGGTTTTCAGACCCTCTCAATTTGGATACTGAGGCCCTAACATGAAAAACCTCATCTACTAGAACAAATCAAGTACAAAACAGTGAATTGACGTCTCGACTAAAGCAATCAATTCACTACCTTCAATCAAGGGTGCTCTATCAACCTATGCAGACATTCTTTCTAGGTAAAGCATAAATCACAGGAATTTGATCAAGATTCAAGCAATTCAGAAATCATGCCTCAATTGAATATAATCAATATCAAAACGTCATGTACTTGGGTTCATACAATCAATCCTAACAAACAACTCTAGGGTTCTTCATACCTAGACGAGAGAGAGAGAGAGTTACTCCATAGAGAGAGAAGAGAATCAGCTTCAGATGCAGAAATCATCGTGTCGAGGATGAGGATCTGCTTCTGGTTGTCAATCAGCACTTCTCCAGGCTTCAATCAAGCTCCAATGGTGTCAAAGCTCGATTTAGGGTACCTTGGAGGTTGGGTTTGTCACTTTATCTCTCTAAAACTCTGTTTCTTTCTCAAAAGCTCCATCCCCTTCTCAAAAACCCGAAATTGGCTTAAGATGCAGCTGTCCACGATTGCACGGTCAGACCGCACGGCTGTGCAACATCCTTGACTTCTCGCAGAATTCATCATGGCCACAAAATAAGTCGTGCACGGTTGTGCAAATCCTTGACGTGCATCTTCGCTTGCACGGCCGCCATGCACGGCTGTGCGTCTTCCCGGACTGGTCGTGCAACTCATCTGCTCTCCATCGCTCATCGCGTCTTCTCCCAATTGACCCAGAACTTGTGCTCAAACCTTTATTCACGCATTAGGACCTGAAATGTCATAAACAAGAACAACCTAGCGTAAAATCGACTCAAAACCCGAGATCCGAGCCTCAAACAATATAAGAATGATGGACAAAAACATGTGTAAATATCGAGTCATCAGGAGGCATGTTAGATATGATATAAAATTCATTATTGAACCTCTCCAACAACTCGAGTTATTGAGATCAACTTGTTCTTGACAAGCTGTATGATTGAAGAAATCAATGCTAGCACATGAAGAGGTAAAGAACATGACACTAGTTTAACTTTGACACACATGTAGATCAATGGGTTCTGATAAGTACCATTATGTTTAGGGATGGCAACAAAACCCAAACCCACGGGTACCCTACCCAACCCAACCCGGTCAATAGGGGTAAAACCCGTGTTGACGGGTTTTGGGGGGTTCGTGTTTAAACCCGCTACATTGCTCACGGATTGGGTTTTGGTTTAGGTATACCCGCTCCAAGGGTACCCGCCCACACCCATATAATTAATTTTTTTGATACATTTAATATTCTAAGCAATATATCTTCCTTAAACAACTAATCTTCTTTATTTTTGTGGAGACATGTCTAATTTGTCCATTCTAATTCTGTAGAATGAAGTTGATATTATGGAGTGGAGAGTGAAGAAGTTTAATTGACAAGGAGGAAGAAGCTTTCATTTAATCATGTTGTTTATAGATGTTTATCTTTAATTTTGAACAATTTGTATTGATAATTTGCGATTTGCTTGTATTCTCTAGATTGGTATTTTTTGTATGGATAATTTGTATTAGAAAATTTATGTTAGACTTTTATTTTGAAAGAAACTTGTTATTGTAAATTTTTTATACAAAAATTCACGGGTACCCATGAACCCGCGGATGCCTAGCGGGTTGGGTTGTGTTTGAGTTTTTCAAACCCGATGAGTTTTACCTTGAGTTTTTTTGGCGGATAAACTCATGAGTTTGGGTATGGGTTTGGCAAAACCCACCCCATTGCCATCCCTAATTACATTTAACAATCACGATATCGAGCTAGACTTACAGCCCCATTAAGACAAAGTCGCAGTCTATATTAAATGAGATAAACATTGAAGATACGTATTGTCAGATCATGCCCTACATAATATTAACAATCCATAGCCATCCATGGTTGTTAATGTGATTTAAAATAGATGATTTGTAGTCGACTAGATGTCACGAGGAACTTGTTTCTTGTCTAGGGGCGAAGCGCGCTGTTAGGAGGCTTGGGGGAGCAAGGTTCTCGCAATCCACAGTGTATGGGCTTGCAGACTGATAGCACCATATTTGGTTTCAATCGACTGAAGTGTGTTTATTGAGTCAATTGAATCCTGGCCAACTTCTCTTGATTTTTGCTTCAACCTGTGATAGATAAAATCTGAATAGGTTGTGAGAGCTTCTTCAATCGATATGAGTGAATTGATTATACGAGAGTTAGTCAACCCTTCCTATTACGTCGTTCCTTCTGACTTGCGGGGATAAGGTGCATCGAAGTATAGACGGACTCCACCACCGTCATCAAGCTCAATGAATCTGCCCTTCTTCGCTTTTCTGATCTCATAGTGGATTATACGATAGTAGTGAATTCAGTGCTTTGTAGTGAAATCTGTTTCCAGTAGTGGAGTTCTGTGTTAATCGCCTTAGTTATCCCGGTGAAGACTAGTCGTCTGCCGGTTAGTCTATCGGAGAGGGCTTGGTCAGCTTAAGAGATTCCCACCTACTGTCGGATATCTTACGCAGTTTAATCAATAGTGAATCAACCAAAGGAAATTACAACTTGGACCTAACTAAGAAGCTAGAGGGACTCATTCCTGAGTGACTCTTCTCTTGCTTCAGAAAACCGGGCAATTTACTACTCTCTTTCTATTTTGGTTTGAATTCAACTTCACTCACTTAGTCCCAATAGATAATAAAAATTCACGGAGTAAGCAATAGATCTAGACCTCAGATTTCTTCTGTCCATATGCATGGCACTGATTAATAATTTATAATTATGACTTCGCACCAAAAGTTTCAAGTCATCGTCTTATGAGTCATGACCACTCCCCGTTCCGTGCACATTACGTACACAAGCAACATCAACACACACAATGTCCCAAACTGATCAACCGTAGTGACACACTGAAAAGCATAATATATCAACCAACTCGGTGTAGTTTTGAATAATATAATCCATCAATCGCAACGAGTTCAGCCGTCATAATATCATCATTGCATGCAGAGCAATTCTTAGCGTATTTGTTTCTCTATGTTGACACGGAGATTTGGACTGCAAATTCAATAGCGCCTGTCCCGCTTAAAGGTGAGGCTATATATTGAAGGTATGCATGCCTTGCGGCTCAGAACCAAGTCGTCGCTAAAACGAAACACCTATGGCGACGAAATTTGGGGCATCTTCAGCCTTTGTTCTTTATTTCTTCTTCTTGACGCCTGCTAGTAGTAGTAGTTCTGATGTCCCGCTTATCTTCGTACTTGGCGGCACCTCAGCTGATAATGGGAACAACAATTGCTTGAACACCACGGCGAAGTATAATGTGCCTTTCAACGGGATCGATTACCGTAATTCTACGCCCACCGGCAGGGCTAGCAACGGCTTGATTTTGCCGGACTATGTTGGTGCGCATGTCCTTCCTAATTAACTCATTGACGCAGAGGTTTTTCATACTGTACATGTAAAATCACGTGTCAGTTGCATTTTTTTTTTTTATTTTGCTGATTTTACTATATTACATTACCCTGGACAGCTAGGAGGCTGAATCGCACCGAAAGTCCGCCGCCGATCATCTGCCTTATCCGAAGCTCCGACGAATACCAACGGGCGATATTGACCGAGGGTGGCACTTTGGCTTCGGCAAGCTCCGGAATTTTTGACACAACCGGCCGGCCGCGGTTTGGCGAAGTAATTGGCTAACAATATATATGTTGACGTACCCATCTCACTAATTTGGTCGATCATGATCAACAAATGTACTACAGGTACTGCCATTACGCACGCAGGTGAAGTTCTTCGGGGAGGTGTACGAGGACTTGATCGATTTACAGGGCCGACAAGCCGCCACCAGTTTGATACGCCGCTCCCTCGTTCTAGTGTCCACCGGAAGCATTGACATCGCCGACCAACTGGATCGGCCCCCCATATCCGACAGCTTCTTTATCACCGCTGTGATAGCCCAATATGTTGGTCTGTTAAGGGTGCGTAACAAACGGGACCTTAATTAATTACTACTATAATTCAACGCTTGGGAGACTGTCCTGCCAAATTGTGGTTGTCATGCAGAGTCTATATGCATATGAAGCTCGGAAGTTCGCCATTGTGGCGCCTCTACTGATTGGATGCAACCCAAATTCCTTTGCTGATAACGCAACGGGCTGCAACCAGAGAGGAACTTCGTTGACGCTCGACTTCGTGGAGAGCCTCGCCACCGCGCTGAGAAGGCTGCGCGTGTTGTATCCCAATTTCCAGTACTCCATCTGTAACGCTCCCAACTTCTTGCTGGATGTCAACGCAAATCCTGGGAGTTTCCCGGCATGTGGTACGCACGCAATAACTAACCTACTTCTAACTAGTTAATCAGTTACGTAGTATCATCACTGATTATATATATACCGTGAATGCGTGCAGGTATAAGGGAGGTGAGAGATGCGTGCTGTGGGAACGGAACCATGCCCTGCCGGCCAACTTCAACCCTGTGCGGCAACCGCGAGCAGTATCTGTATTGGAGCCAGTACCAGCTCACTCAGGAGGGCTCCAGGATCCTTACCGCAGCTTGTTTCAGCAACAACCTCAGATACGCCGCTCCTATAAACTTCTACCAGCTTGCTCGTACTACTACTTGAACTACACCGGGAGCAGCACTTGTATTGTGCCCCAATAATATCCACTTCCTAGTTAGTAATTAGCTACCACTTCAATTTCAAATTTAATGCAGAAATGAAGGGGCAAGAAATGAACACCAATCACAGCCGATCTTATTCTAGGTGATGAGATGAAGTCTATTGAGTGTTCGGCTATTTCACTCCATTCGGTGGTTTGAACATATAGCATGTAAAATATGAAAAGGATCCAATTATATTCATCAACTACCAAAGAGCCAGTGACTCAAGGGGCAAAGGTTTGATGTCTAACTGCCATCTTTTAAGGGGGGAAGTAATGTCACAAGTAGAGTGGGAAAAAACTGTTAATCACAACCCCAAAACAAGCAGCACGAACATTGGTGTCACCATTAACGCTGACCTCACCAGGATCTTAAAAAAGTTAACTACTAATGCTCAAGAAACCTAACTGAGAACCATCCATCAAAAATATGTCCTTGGAACACTGTAACCAAGAAAACTAACCTCAGTTCCAAATCTAAGTTAATCCAATGACCAAAGAATCATCCTTCAAGCATGACTTTGGCAGCATCGATGAGGGTCGGCCTTAAATCACGAGAAGCTCGGCCAAGCACTGTGTATCCTTCTTTGTCCTCCACATCCACATCTGCTCCATGTCTTATGAGTAGAAAAGCCACCTGTCAATGAAACACCAGAGATCGACAAACTTCATCACAATGAAGCAAGGGAAAGATACAAGCTGGCATCTTGAGCAAACAATCTAAAGCTCACCTCTTTGTTCTCACAAATCACTGCGTTCATAAGAGGGGTTTGACCAACTCCGTCAACAGCATCTACCTCTGCTCCTTCCTCGACTAAGAGTTCACACAACTCGGCCCTCCCTGTACTCGCTGCTCGATGCAATGGTGTACATCCTACCTGAATAATGTAGCATTTGCAAAGCAACATAGCTGTTGAAACATATGAAGCTTGAGAACAGATATATTCACAGGAACAGGAATCAAGTCAGAGTTACAAGCCTTGTCCTTGGAGTTGATCTTTGCACCATGTGAAATCAAAAGTTCAGCAATCTCCAACCAACCTTTGCTCGCAGCATAGTGAAGAGCTGTGCGTCCCCCATTATTTTTCAAGTTGACATCCGCGCCTACTCACAAACCATCTCCATAATCAAGTAGAATTCAAGATATCAACCAAAGTCGATTAAGGCTGAGACCTAAAAAACTAACTCGAATAAACCATTCGCAACTTCACTTCACATGGGCAGCGTAAACATGCTTGAATTGAACAGCGGTTCACAAATCACTGAACAAGTATCCAAGTCCTATCTCTACATAACCACGCAAATCAAACAGCGGTGAGCTACTTGTTCTAATTTGGCAGAGTAAATCTTACCTTTGCTCAGCAAAATCTCCACAATCGGCACACTCCCAATGCTAGCGGCCGAGTGTATCGGCGCCCAACCTTCATCGTCCTTGCTGTTCACCACACCGCTGGATGCTTCAACTTCGGACAAAAGCTTCACCACCTGAAAATTTTCTCCAGGTTAAAATCGAACATAAGAGCTCAACAGGGTGGCCGGGTGGGGGATGAGAAGGGAGAAGCAATGGAGTTCGATTGACGAATCGGAGTACCTCAGTGTGGCCGGACGAGGAGGCTACATGGAGCAGGGAGCGGCCGTCATCGTTTCGAAGCGATAGAGCTTTGGAGAGCTGCAGAGGCGAGAGCGAGTGGAGTATTGAACAATCGCCGGTCTCGGCAGATTTGAAGAGGTCTTTGTCTTTGATCTGCGGGAGCTGAGCTTGTTCCGGGGGATCTATCTCCATCTTAGTCGCCGGGGGATTTGGTCGGGGCTCCGTTGAAGTTTTACTCGAGGACGGTTTACAGGTTTTGCCGGTTACTCGGTGGTCGGGGTTTCTTTGGGGTCTCGGTAGGAAATCCTTTTCACAAAGCGGTTCGGGCCTCGGGGGATAAAATAAAATCATAAAACAAATTTCTGGCTTCAAGGACAAGAAAAGCAAAACGCACAGTGCAATTGCGTTTTTTACTTTTTTTTTTATAGAAAACTATTTTTGCAATTCAACTCACTTTACTTTCATTTCATTGTACAAAATATAGTCAAAATCACGCTTTAAAACTTAAAAACTTACGATTTTACGCTTCTAAGTCACTAAAACGCTTGTACACAAAATCTCCATTTTTATAGCTTATGTAGTTAAAAACTCGCTTTAAAGCTTAAAAACTTACGATTTTACGCTTATAGATCATCAAAACGTTTCTACGTAGAAACTCGTTTTAACTACATTGATTGTACGATTTGTACCTACATTGGTGCAATTAATTTGCAATTGCATATGGGTCCTAATTTTTTTAATAAATAAAATTTTTATAGATACCTTTTTAACCATATTGCAAGTAAATAAAATAATAATTTATTTTAATTTAATTTAAACGAAATATATACAATTAATGCATAAAATTTTTATTACTAATTTATGAAGACATTTTAGCTTTGAGGATGGACCAGAAAGAATCTAGTACTCAATAATTATTTCCCAAATCAAAATAAAATGTTAGAACTAGCACAATATTCAAATAGGACACATAAAGTCAACAACTTATATCTAAAATTTTAAATGGAACAATATATAGACAGAAATGTAAATTAAACATAATTTTCCTCATCTCCAAACCGAGCCAATATCTCCTCTATCAAATCTGATTGAAATTGATTATTTGTAGAGTGATTACGAATTCTTGTATGATTGCGAATATACTTTTCATACTTAGGGAGACGATTATTTGAAACTGCAGGCATAGAGACACTAAAGTTGACATCATCATTTGTATAATCAAAATGTCGGATGTATGTATGACGATCATTTTCCACTATCATGTTGTGCATAACTATACATGCTCCCATTATTTCTCCGATTATATCTTTCCACCACATGCATGATGGACCATCAATTATTGCGAATCATGCTTGGAGCATCCCAAATGCTGTCTCAACGTCTTTTATGGCTGCCTCTTGCTTCTTAGCGAACAATTTGTGCTTTGGTCCTTGGGGTAATGAGAATGACTTGACGAATGTGGCCAATTGAGATAAATACCATCAGTGAGATAATATCCCAAATTATAATTTCGTCCATCAAGAGAATTGGTAATTGTGGGTGTTTTTCCTTCTAACACTTCATGGAATACTGGGGACCGATCTAACACATTTAATGTACCTGGGTACAATGGAAATGAACATCATATAAATTGAGTAGATTTAAAGTTTTGTACAAATAAAATATAGTTTCAGTCATTGTTAGTAAATACTTTGTTCGATACACGTCTACATTGGTCGTATGTAGTTTATCCGTTTAAATTTTTTGTATATGTATTATTATCAAATCGTTTTATATTTACCCGTTCATTGATGGCTCCCGTACTAAATACTCTATATATTTTATACGCATTTTATACATCTTAAGAGTTTGTTCCCATGGCTTTAAAAAAGCACAGTCCCATTTATCAACATCCACCATCCCTCTGTTTAGATCTTGTAGAGGGCCACGATGTCACAACTCTAGCCATATTCTATTGGCTCCACAGTCAAAGTCCTTCAACAAGATCATCAACAAACACTAGGTCATCTGTAATGCTAAGCAAGATTGTAAACTTCTTATTACCATACTTAACAACCAACAACCCAGAATAGTCTTCCATCTCCACGCTTCTAACTGCTCCTCAAGCTTTTCATGTCAACCTTGGATATGACATCATCCATCTGATCATAAATCACCATTCACCATGTACCAATTTCGACATACAATTGTAGAAACACCATCAATCAACTCACATAATTTGATGCTAGCCTCAAATGAGATTGGCTTTCAGTTCAACTTCGCTTTCTTTTATCTTCTTCATGGCAATGCATGCTCAATTGTTTCATTTCCGGTTTCTTAACTGTACTCTCTAGACCTGTCCTCTCAAGTCTCTCCTTCTATGTCATCTGCCAACAAGCGAGAGCTGCACCTCAAGGTGCTATTTTCAAACTCTCAAATTGTTACTTGATGCATGACATAGCAACCGAGTACTTCTACACCGGCCATTCACCCACCGAATAAGAACCAATCACTTTGCTGCCTATTCGTCGAATGACATTGAAACCAAACCTGCTTCACCCACAGGTTATACCACCTACTTCACTCATAGGTACATCTAGCTGACATTGACACCCAACCTGCTTCACTCACAGATTACACCACCGACTTCACTCGTAGGTATGTCTTAGCTGACATTTCCTTAAACAGTTCCCTGAGCATCCTTACACAACCACGAATTCCCTTAATCCAATCATCATTCCTCATCAGCGACTTCTATGAAAGCCTCCAATTCAACTTATGCTACAATCCCACAAACAACCTTTATAGTTTACCAAGGCAGCATCAAAAGATATGAGTTCCTCATCCTGCAACAACTTGACGGTACATCATGTATTCAGACTCCATGGCCTTCATCACAGCTCAGAGGTTATCACTACTGGTTGTTAGATTCTTCATTATACCTTGCTATCTTCAAACGCTCCAACATACACACAAAAATAGCAAACTACTCTGACCTTTAGCTTGTTGGCTCATCATCCATTCCAGAGACTTAGTTGTACTATTGGACAGCGAGCGCATTCAGATTCATTGTTATCCCATTCTCACCAAACTGTTAACACCATTCTAGTATGGATATTGCTTTGAACTTTATCCCCCTTACAGCTCATAATGGAGTTTTTCTTTTTCAAAGCAAGCTCTTGTAGACCTCTCTCAAGCTTCTGGACTTCAACTTCCTTTCAGAACTATGATGGTAAGCATTTTGAGCCTGATCGTCCTCCTCGCGAGTAGCGGCCATTGATGTGCACTCATCCTTCTCCTCCTACTCTTTCTCTCCATTGCTCCCTTATTTATTGGAAGCCTCGGTGGCTGCTGCAAGTACTGGATCTTTCTCAACCTTGACTGGCCTCCCCTAAACTGAAGCATATTGATACTTCTGTTTACTCCAGTACTAGCAATGCCACATCAATAATTATTCCCACAGCAGAAAGAAAAAATCAAAAGCTTGCAGTAATAAGAAGAACCAGAAACAACAACAGCATCTCCAGTTCAGTTCAGCCAATACACTCCAAAGCTTCCCTCACTTGTTCTTCTCGGCAACACAACTCAAGTAGCTTTCCTTCAATACTGCCATCTCTTCCCTAGCCAACTCCAACTGGTGCTGCAGTTCTGATACACATGCTATTATGTTCTCCAGCTCCATCTTTTCAACACCAAGATCTCCTCAAACTTTGATCTCTCTTTGAGCAAAAAAGAGTTGAGACAACATACTTTCTATACCCTTTCTCAACTCATTCTTCAACCTGTGAACCTCTTCCTCCGACTTCTGTGGAAACGAGAAGACCAACTCCATAAGCACAAATACTATCAGCTAGAACAACTTTCCTAGTTCTATTGGCCTCCCCTCAACGCTCAGACGGTGAGGACACCCCCTTCGTTGACTTCACCAGAATCAGATTCTCCAAGAGTCCCATCACAAAGCTCATCAAAAGAATTTCCCAATCAATACGCTCTATTCCCAAATCCTTCATCACAAAATGTGGTAATCATTAAGGTACAAGTAGCATTATCAACAAAAAAAAATCATTCTCAGTCATATCGCCTACCACCTTCCCCATTCTGCAATATACCTATGAATTTGGAGGCCACACGTATCTCTTCAACAAGTCCTCTGCATACTCAAACAGGCCCATCTAACAAGCAATCTCGTTAAAATGGTTCAATGTCCTAGAGCTCAATGCCAATCCCTGGTTCCGCATCTCAATAACAATATTCACAGACTATTTCAACAAAAAACTCGTCACCATACACCCCATCACCTCTCTAACTATCTCAAAATTCCCTTTCCCAATTGCCGAAGTAGTAGAGACAATGTAATACCTCATGGAATATCTAAACTTGGGAACCCAATCGCCCAATTTAAGAACTCAGAGTTAGTCACATCCAGTTAGGTGACGCCGCTCGAGGTCTGCTTCCTCCCTGAAACCACGATATTCGGTCTTCTACGGTGCATCAACAACTAGTGATGTGGAGTCGTCGCCATCGATGACTTCTGCTTGGGATACAGCTCCCGAGGTGAGGAGGCATCGACATCGATGGATCCATCAACTCGTTCTCCTCTGGCTCAAACTTCGCCGCTTTCTGCGTTTGTCATTTCTCTCAAACAAAAGAAACCCTCAGCTTTTCTGCTTCATTTGTTCGTAATCAGGAGAGAACCTAATGCTTTTTTGTTGTCTCACTTATCTCTCGTTTTTTCCTCCTTACACACAATAGGCGGGCGGTGGCCGGCGGCCACCGCCACGTCCACCGCCACCGAAACCCGGATCACTTCATCTTTAACCTATATAAGGCTCTGATACCACAGTGTAAAATCGAAATGGGCAAAACTCTCTTATTCATTGAATGATGAAATCAAAGTTTTAAATACAGCAGACTTGTTTCCAGCTAGAGGTGGCAATTGGATCGGATTCGATGATTCATGGATTGGATTGATGGATCCATGGATCAAATGGATTGGATCCAATGGATTGGTGGATTGATCCATGAATCCAAATGACATCCAAGGCTTGGACCAAAATGTAAATTTTGAAAAGTTTAGGTACTAAAATGTTATAATGACAAATTTTAGGTACCAAAATGTAATTTTCCAATGATTTTTTCGTAAAAAAATATAAATTTTAGGTACCAAAATGTAAAATATAAAAAATATAGGTACCAAATCGTAATTTGCCATTTGGATCCATGGATTGATCCATGAATCCACCAATCCAATTGGATTTGGATCAAATGGATTGGATTTAAATGGATTGGATTAAATGGATAATTTGGTGGATGGATTGGATTGGATTAATGGATTTGGATCCTAATTGCCACCTCTATTCCCAGCACTAACCACAATCTAACCCACTAATCCTAGCTCCTGAAAACTAGCTAACAAA